TGTGTATCACCCGCTCTGCATAAGGTGCAGAAGAGGGTGTGTGGTCTTCAACCGCGCATGGCGGTGGTCCGACGTCGAGAGATTAACCCTCAAGGCGCAAGTCAGCCGACACTTGAGTGTCGAACGTGATCCTCAAGATTAACAAGGACCTCGCGAGTATAGGTACTACATAGTACGYCATCATTGCGACTGCTTGCGTACGTTTGCATTGCGAGTCGATATGAGTTAGCCCTGCGTCCRCACRGTTTTATACTAAGTCTTGCGTGCGATTCCTATCCGATTTCCGCATCGAAGAGTTATGGGTTGGCTACTGAGGGACTAGGAGCGTTGTCGCATTGTTTGTGTTGTGTCGTGTTGTATGTGCATGTGTGTGTGTTTTATTTTTATGTTCGTGGTGTGGGCGTGGTGTGTGGGATGCGTCCTAGTCGACCGACGACGGGCCGCGCTTGGGACTTCAGCCCCCCAAGATGTCGATTCGCGTGCGGGTCCGATAGACGTATTACCGCTCGTACCCCCTATACTACAGCGAACGAGAAACGCCCCCGGCTGGTCCACCTCTGCGATTGCAACCGAGTAGCTTTCGTACTGTGGACTGGTAGCTCGGCGGGGATACGCCCACCGAAGGGAGGTGACAGTTTCGGTAAGGTGGAGGTAAGTTGTGCCTCGCGTAGGCCCTATCCTGTCGTAGGGGCTTGCGAGAGGTATGGCTGGCGCACTCGGCCGGAGCGGCCTAAGGAAGCTCCATTTGTGTGTTCGCGGCAAGGTTGGTCCAACTCTTGCATGACGCGGCCGATAGGGTCCCGCGCTGCCGCGTGCGGTGCCGGACCGATGCGCCCGACAGGTGGCGCCGTTGTTGGGGATAACGGTCGCCTACCGTTGTCCCTGGTGGAACGACATCCGCGTACGGGAGTATGAGAACTAGGCAAAACGAGAGGTCTTTGTTGAGCCTTTATGTTTGATCGATTGAAGGCGTTGGATAGAAAGCGAGTGAGGGACTTATTGCGTGAGTGGGTTTTGGTTCGGTGCAGTAAGGGTGGCGCGACGGGGATAAGCTTTGACTATGTGCCCACGTACGTTGACTATGCCCATACGTACTTCGACTAGGCACTTATGTACTTTGACTAGTAGGACGGTAGTTGGGGTTGATACCTCTTCTGACCGCGATGGGTGCTGGGTTTGGGCGATGATTTGCATGGTTGATACTGCTAAGGTAGGATGAGGTGATATCGACAAAGCTAAGTGTGGTGGTTGTGGGAGTTGGTCGTGTAAGGTACCCATTATGGCTAAAAGGAGTTACCCGAGTGGTCAAGGGTGCGATATGACACTTTGGCCTTAGGGCGAGACGTAGAACGAGTAAAGGAAGCCTATCGTGTTAGAGGTCATTAAGGGACCTCGAGAGGAGTTAGGCTAGGGATGTCGAAAACTTGTACGAGTATGGATTGGGTTCCTCGAGTCTGGGCTTTGAGCAGAAGCTTGGGTTGTATAGTGAGGGAATTCTGAGGCCTGTCCAGTGTGGCATGTTTGGGTTAGGCGTATAAGGCAGTGAAGAGACGCAGTGAGCACCGTCGTAAGGCCCCAATAGAAAGGGCTACGGGAAATAGTAGACTTGCATGACACCTGTTAGAGGAGGGTATTTGATCCTAGAGGTAGTCAAAGTAACAGTGAGGGAGCTAAGCTTGGACTATTCTACTTACCTTTAATAGGGCAATGAGTTGTAATTGATATTAGACCCTCGCATGAACCGTTCCAAGCCTGGACCATCCACTTAGGAAGCTAAAGGCTTGGGGCTTTTTGTCTTGAGGATGTTACTTTAAGCTGTATATTGGACTCATTTATGGGTGTCAAACCTGGTAAGCCTAGCCTATGCCTAATTATGTGGAGTTATATGTTTAAGTAGGTACTATTTTTTAAAAATATTTCGCGTGGGTTATTTTATTGGGAATCCTATCAGTCTGTAGAAATTTATATGAATGTCCCCAGTCCAGCAGTTGGCCCATGGTTGGCCATTGAGCCTGTGCGGTTGGGTCGCTCTTCCCAGAGGAGCAGGGATTGTCTGCTTAATAACGAAAGGCGCGTGCTGGACGTTTGTCTGTGATAGGCAGAACCCAGACAAAGCAAAGGCAATTCAGAATGCCTTATGCACGGGAAGACCCGCGTATGCTCAGGCCAATTGAGAAAGAAGGAGGGCTCGAGGTGTCTTTGCCCAGGCGGGTCAGAGCGGGGAAGTACCTCTCTTCATGGTGGGGCATGTTGATGGGCACAGACATCTTTGTTTGGATCGAGTCTGGGTTTGATGATGGACGGGAATGTGCGATTGTAAAGGTGACCCTGTACGCCTCAGCCGCCTTTTGGATCGAGCATGGGATAAAGTTGGCGCTCGGGCATGGGAGCCTGCTTGCTAAGCCTTTGAGGGTAATCGAGGCAGTCGCGGCAAAGTGGGCGAGGGAAGTGTCCCGTGATGGGGGAGAGCGAGTACTAACCCGCGTAAGGGTCGAGCGCGTTGGAGAGTTCGGGCTTCCATCTGCCCCGCTGCGAGTAATCCTGCCTGAGTTTCTGATAGAGAAGAGTTTTGGTGGGCAGGCGAGGGTAGAGGTGGCAGCTGAAGCTGCTCTGAGGGCGCGAGATTGGGAGTATGGGCGATACACATGTGAACTGAAATATGGTCTATACCTAGACCTGAGATTCCTGCCCTCTAGTCAGTGGCTCACGAACACGGCCAATACACTAGACATATACGCCTCGTCTCATTATCCGAAGGAGGGAAATGTAGACTGGGAGGAGAATCGGGCAGTAGTGGGCCGATAGGGGATGCCGTCATTTTCTACTAAATGCGTTTCTTTTGACTTGGCCGGAGTCGTCTCTCTGCCCATTATCGTAGTTATGAAGGTAATCGTCAGGGTAACTAGGGGTTGAGGCCGGATCGCGTGAATAAAGGAGTAGATAGCATGATTTAAGTGTTAGCAGTCTGCCCTTGTCTGCCTGAGCTTACTTAAATCACTGTTTGATGGTCTATTGCTCGCTGTGCGTATCAGGCCACTGTCAGCATCATGGTGGGAGAAAGCGGCTTCGCCAAGATCTTGCTTTGGAGGAATTCGTGTCTTTTGAAGGTGTTGCTGCACGAAGTGTTGCAAGCGTCAATGCCCCCAGACCTCCTCGCCATGTTGTTCCAAGGAAGGAACCTGTCTAGCTTTCTGCGCGACTTTCAGGATTTTAGCCTTACGAAGATGTGGGACGAGAAGACAATGTGGTACATGTTTCCCGTGTTCGTTTGTGAAGGACTAAGTGAGGAGGTGTACACCCTCATGTTGAAGTCGCAAACCTGGGATGAGTTGGAAGCTTCTCTGAGGTTGAGGTTTCCAAAGAATGGGGTGGAATGCAGGCTTGGTAAGGGCCCTGAGCAGCCAGCCGAGGCCGCGTCAATGCAAGGAGAGTTGAGCGGTATACAGAGGCAAGTTGGGATGCTGGAAGAGAGATTGGCGCGGTTGGAGGAAGCCAGGCGTGGCGAGAGGAAGACCTTCGAAGGAGCATCTAACGGACCGGTTGGGCAAGGTGAGGCGGAGGTAAGGGAGGATCATCAGGAGTTACTCCTCCACAAGAAGACCCCAAGAGGGCAAGTTTGCGCCCTAGAAAGAGATGGAAATGAAGGGGTCATTGAGATCAAGGAGGAGCGAGAATTTAGTATGGCCCTACCCGTTATTGCGCCAGAGCCGAAGGGAGGGCCCATTGACAAAGAGGCACCGTCGGCTGCGGGTCGGGAGAGGCAAAGGAGTAAGTGGTGGCCAGAGCATTGGGTAGAAGTGGTATGTGATCGTTGGGGAAAGATTGGCCGCGCCCCTCAAGGAGGCAAGGAAAAGGAGGTGATGGGTGAAAAAGGGGAGCCTGAACCCCCCAAGTTGACAAAGGCTCAGCGGAAGGCGAGGAATCGGGCCCAGGAAGGTCAGGGTGCCAAAAAGGGGCAGTGCTCAGGACAAGTGGGGGCCACACCGCAAGAGGTGGAAGGTAGAGTAGCACAAGAGAGGTCCCCGTCGGTTGAGCAGGCGCCATATGGGCAGCGGGAACCATGTGGTCAAGTAGAGCCAAGACCTGTGTATAATCCATATGTGCCCTGGATACAAGGCAGTTGGCTGGGCCCGCAAATGAATATGATGCCGCCCAGGCCTCCTGCAATCCAGTTTCAACCAGCCTTGTGTATGAGACCATTGCAGTCGCCGATACCACAAGGGGCACAAGGCCAAGTGGCCGGTGGAAGGGATCAAAAGCGAAAGGCTGAAAGGGGTTGTAGGGATGAGGGGCACGAGAAAGGGAAGTGGGGTGGCGGCAAGGGTGGCTCTGGTGGGAAGAAAGCGGGTTGGGGAAAGGACGTCTGCAGACATTGTGCCAAGGAGGGGCACATGATAAAGTTTTATCGGGAGCGAAGGGCCGATGAGGCAAGCGATCTAATAAGGACTGACATTGAGGGAAATGTTTTCAACAGGACGGGGGAGTGCATCGACCCAACCATCCCTGGGGGAACACGGAAGGAGGCTTTGTGGCGAGACGGGGCGTCGAGCACTGCCTCATGAACATAGTCGTGAAGAGGAAGCGTTTGTGTGAGAAGGGCCTGGAAAGTTAAGCAGACTGTAAATACAAGCGAGAAATCCCAATCGTATAGTTGTTGTAGATAGGCACAGCGTACAGAGGGAAGGGATTTTCGTAATAATGGTCCAGTAAGGTAGCTCGAGTTGTAGGCAGGATGAACCCCAATAAAATAACTGTATATATGGGGTATGTTAGGTCTGCCTCACATCATGTTATTGAAATGTCCCAAGTAGATGGAGCACGGAGTGACCCTGACGATATCGTTACGGAAGAAGGATTTGTTCTACTAGGCCTATTGACTAAGAAACAGCCATTTCGTCAAAACGGACATATTATATTTTTTGAACGAAATCAAAACTGACTTTTTTTGCCAAAATCCGGTCGGAATTTTTTGCTCATGGGGGTCCGACGTTCCCAAAACGCCGGACCCCCCGGGTCTATGTTTGAGACCAGATACAAAAA